TCTTGCAAAATGCAATCTTATCAATACGTGCAAAGAAGTTATTGAACATAATAGAAAAAAGTAGTGAGGTGGTGGTTAAGGTGTCAGTTTGCCGTTGCATTGTTATGTTGCTTTTGTTCCTCTGGACATTGAATACAGAGCATACTCTGGCTTATTTTATGCTGGGAAAAACCGATATATGTCGTGAGTGATAAGGTTTTTATTTGATGTTTTTTAGGGATTGCGTCCTGAACTTCCACAAATTGGACATCCAGAACTCCTTCAGTTGATGCAGAGATGTTGGGAAGCAGTTCCTGCCAAGCGGCCTGCATTCTCTGAAATTACAATTGAACTTGAGAAACTTCTGATAGAGGTTCAGGTATAACTTTGCTGCTTATTCATTTCCTTGCACTCAATTCTCACCCCCTAGGTCTGACTAAGGAGCTGTATGCCTATACATATTTCAGGAAACTTCCGAAGCATTAAATGGAATTTGACCTATTTCTGTATACAAGAGTCTAAATTGGCACACCTTTTGAAGATTTCTTATTTCCTTCAAATGGAGGTTATATTGTAAAAACTAAACGAATATAAAGTTCACACGAGCATCATACAAGCTGGAGAGAGGGACAAAAGTATTTATGTATATGTTCTTTAGCGGCGGTAGATCTCTTCCACAAAAGACATCAGTTTGTGAGCTTGTGTAGTTGTAAAATTGCTTTTGAGCAACGTGATTCCTATCTTCCCAGGTTTAATGAAAGCAATTTGGTTTTGGTTTTGACGGGTACTTCATTGGCTTCCGGCCAACTGGTCCACCGACATGCAAACGGAGTGAAATATTTGTGCCTCATAGTTTTGAGTTTTGAGTCAGTGTTTTATGAACTATCTAGAGTAGAGATTTGATCTTAAGGAAAGTGTTCGGATGCCTGTGGTTATGAGCTGCCGTCTACATTTTGTTTCTTCATTTTGGTAGTCAGCTGCACTCCCTTAATATTATCTGAGGCACATAAGAAGTCAACAGACAGAAGGTAAACGAGGAGGGGGGAGACTCTGGTTTTAATTGAAAAGTCCAGGCAAGTAGATGTTTGATTTAAAGATCTCGTTTAAAAATAATGTACTACTGTATAAATCAATGACAAAGATCACTGGACTTACAAAGCCTGTGGGTTATGACATCGGGAATTTCTATCATGGTCGTGTCACATGGTGTCTTCATATAACACATCACGGATAAAGTTTATTAATTAATTGGAATTTTGGACGATT